AGTTAAGCAATGAAATGGAGTGCATGTAGTAATTATTAAGATATGCATGAAATGAAATGCATGTACCGCCTATTAAAATGTGCATGAGATGAAATATATGTACTATCTATTATTTTCAACTTCTAGAAACATAAGAATGTATGCAAACATGACTAATTGAAATGCAAGAAATGAAAAACTACATTGACTCTCTCTCTCTCTTTTTTATTTTTTAGAAGGGATAAAAAAAACTTAATAACATACATTTTTTTTATTCTTCATAAAATGGCTAGGATTTAAAGGTTTTTTTTTTTCATTCTATTTTTTATTTGCCAATAAAGAATTTAAGGAAAAACTCTTCTCTTTTTTTTTTCGAAAAATTTTGTTTTTGTTAATGGGTTTTTTATTTTTTTGTTTTGTTGGATAGTAAAAAAAAATGTTATTTTAAAGCATTTCTTGAATATGCACATTTTCAACAAACATCAAGTGAATCAAATTGTATTTAAAAGAAATTTTCTTTGAAAGAATTTTTTTATTGTTTTTTATTATTATTCTTCTTTTTTTTCAAAATTTTAGTCTTATTCGCACTATTATTATCTCTAAATATAGATTGTATTATAATGTTCTTTTATGTGTCCTAATTTAGGGCAATTACAATGGAGAATGTGGGCATAACTCTACCTAAGGCTGACTCCCTAAAGCTCACTATATGTTGGGTCAGAAATTGACACGTCTAAAGGTTTCCTAATTATTCTTCACATCATCATCCATCACAGACTAGTGCGGCACCTCAATCCTCACCCATTACAAGTTACGAGCAGAAATGATTCAATTTCAATAGAAGTATTTCATTAGCCATTGTAGAAGTTTACACCTCATGAATGCATAGCTACTTTACTTCCTCTTAAAAAGGTTAGGGTCGAATTATAGAGCTTCTGCATGTAATGCAAAGTGAGTGCATGCGAAGGAACAGACAAACCTTTCACATTTTCTTTAAAATAGCCCTATCTTAAATGCCTCATAATTATTAAAAACTGGATAAATAATAATAATTTAAAATAAATGACATAATTAACATTGCATGAAATGTAAAACATACACGTACCTTTTTTTTAATTTTTTAGAAATAAGGAAATTAAAATCAAAACATTTTTTTGGATTTTTTTCTTTATTTTTTTAATGATTTTTTTTCAAATTTCCCACTTTTTAAGAAACAAGAAAATTAAAATCAAGGGATTAAGGTTAAACACTAATTAGGACCATTAAAACAAAATTTAGGATCACATGCAATCAATCTTTGGCCAAAATCTCTAAAAAATGTCCTTCGGTGAAGTCGTCAAGTTGTTGTGACGTTTCGAGACTAAAGGTGGTGACCCATCCACAAAATGAACGGAGAATGAGAAAAACAAGGGCAAAAAAATGCATTTTCAATAAAAATCAAAGCAAGACGTTACCACCAATCTTTTTTATGGTGTGATTGATCACTCAAAAGTTTTATCATTTTAATAAAACATTTAAAAGATTTAAAAGTTTATAAAAAAAAAAATCTATGATCTACGAAATCAGATTTAAGGTTTGAGATTCGATTATATGTATAGAAGGATTAGCACCTCCATAGTTCCTGTTAAATATGATACCAATTGATTGTATGCTATCATTGAATTTTGGTACAAATGGTCCTATTATAGTGTTTAGTTATTAATTCTCTTTTTCATTCCAAAAACTTGTCTTTTCTTTTCTTTTTGAAAACAAAACATTTTATTTTTAAATCAAAGTGAAAATACTTTAAATAGCAAGACAATTTTTTCACTCTCCTATATTTAGGTAAAGTTTCGAAAATATCTCTAATTTAAAAGTTTTCAAATTGTTCTACAAAGACAAAGATAACACCTCACCTAAATAATAACCAAGGAGAGTTCTCCCATAGTTAGGCCAAATCTTGATGACTATATTTAGTTGAGATGTCTCTTATTAAAAAAATATTTTTTTTAAATATATTTTTGAAAATATATGCATATTATGCATGAACATAATAAAAATGAATGAATGAATGCATGAATGACATAATACAAATGCATGATGATTTAAGTATGTAAGACACTAAAAATGAAATGCAAATACATGGATGGGGTTTAAGTTATGGTTTAGGATTTAAGATTTAGGGTTTAGGGTTTAGAGTTTAGGTTTGAGGTTTCGAAAACTAGGGTTTAAAGTTTAAGTTTTAGAGTTTATGGCTTAGGGTTTTAAATTTTGCGTTTAATGAAATTTGGGTTTCATGAAATCATACATGTGACAAAAACAAATTACAATAATGTCATTAATAAAAATATAAATACAAATGCATGACAAGAGAACAAATTAATTACAAATCTAGGCATTTATAAAACTAAATTACAAACAAGATGTGTATGTGAAAACATATAAAAAAATGAATCAGACACAAATTTTTCAAAATTTTAAAACATGTTCCACTAACACAAACACCAAAAAATCACCAAACAGCCTACCAAACTAATTTTTATTCATAGAATATTATATCAAATATATTGAAAACTTGAAGAACCTTCCATAAACATAATCAAACACATGAAATTTAGTAACACTTGGCCACAAAAGGGAGAGCAAGTTTCGACCAAGCAATGAAACACCTTGGCCAAATGTCCTATGGCACCTTCAACTAAAAATGTTTCATTCATTTCACTCAAGCATGTATCACTTAGTCGCCAAATCATCTTATGAAGGTATCTAGATCATAAAAAAAAAAAAATTACCAAATATGAAGTAAACTAGAAATAGCAAAGAAACCATGAAAACTAAAACATGAACTAAGCACCAACATATATCAATAATCAAACAAAATTCATGCAAAACATAAATAAACTCATCATGTATTCGATCCCAAAATTTAGGGACTTTTGGAATTCTTGGAACTTTGTCATAAAATTGAGGGATTCTTAGATCTTCAAATTTCGATCTCAATATAGAAGTTTTTAGAATTTGGTCATAATTTAGGGAATTTTTAAATTTTGTACAAAATTATGAATTCTTGAAATTTGGTCCCAAATTAAGGATTCTTGAAATTTTGTTTCAAATTAGTGATCTTTGAAATTTGTTCCCAATTTAGAAATTCTTGCAATTTTATCTCAATTTAGGGATTCTTATAATTTGGAATTTGATCCCAATTTAGGAAATTTTTTTATCTTAACACTATGTTCGGATTAAAGGGAAGGAAAGGAAAGGAAAGAAAAATAAAGAAAAGTAATGGAAATAGAAAAACCTTCCTTTGTTTGGATAAACTTTTAATCTAAAGGAAAGGAAAAAGGTGAAAACTCAATAACCTTTGGTTTTTCTTATAATCCTCACTTTTTAATACCCTAATTTGGGGGAAAAGTTAAGGAAAAGAAAGTTGAAAAAATTTTATTTTTATAAAAAGACTATTATATCTATCATTTTATTAATACTAAAAACTTAGTCAAAAAAACCTAACCACGTCACAATCTTCTTGTAATTTTTTCAAAGTTATCTCTTTTTTCAAGTGAGTTTCACATGTCTCTTCTAATATAAAAATTTTTTATAATTTTTTGGTGATTTGATTTTGACGAATGATTGAATATGAATAGACATATTTTTTTGGGTTTATTAAATGCAATGTTTTTATGTGATTGTATTTTTTATATTTAATGGCTTTTATATCAATACATCGTCAAAGTGATAGTGTGCTAAAATTTTGACAATGGTAAAAAAATCTATCAATATATATTTGTAAAATATCTTTCTGTTTTACTTGATTAAAAACCACTAATATAACTACAATTGTGATGTCATACAAGATAGCAAATATATTATGGTTTAAAAGTACTCTAAAATCACTGACAATGAAAGGTTATAATTGAAAAAATTATTATAATAAATCATTTCCTTTCTTTTTCACTCTTTGTCCAAACAATGGTTGTTAGAATTCTTTTTTTTTTCTTTATTAATTTTAGTTTTCCAAACAAATGGTACATATATCATTTCTTTTCCTTTGAAAAACTTTTTTTTCCTTTCCTTTCCTTTCCTTTCCTTTATTAATATTTATTCAAACATTACCCAAGACTTTATTCTCATATTTGTGAGAGCTTTTGAGAATTTGGTTTTTCAAATCCTCCTCTTTCCCAATTATATTCTCAAACTTGTTTGTTAGAACTTTGAAAACTTTGTTCTTTAAACCCTCCTTTTTGGACTTGAAAGAGATCTAGGACTTTTTTCAAATCTTCTTTCCTAATTGTCCCTTGAACTTGTTTTTTGAAATTTTTGAGACTTTGTTCTTCACGTCTTCCTTCTTTAACTTATGAGAGTTACCGAGACTTTGATTCTTTGTAACTTCTTTTCTCCCAATTGTCTTCACGTCTTCTTTTCCCAAATTGTCTTCAGGCTTTCTTCCCCCTAAGTAGGGTGTCAAAAGGTTACAAGAGCTCTCTATTTATTGTGCTAGGTGATACTAGATGAGAAAGTTCCAAAAATACTTAATTTCTAAATACATTAATATACATAATTAAACTATCATTTAACTATTAATCTCTCATTTGATTATGGAAAGAGTCTTCAAAATATTCATTGCAAAAAATCTTCTTTACTGTAGCAATTATAACAAAGAACCATTACGAGTCTCGGTAACAAATAAATTAAACAATGAAGATTTTTTTGGATTTATCTAAGACACTTTTTTTTTTATTTACCTCCGATGGGCCTGAAGCACTCGGACCCTATAGGGCTCCGCCCTTGACTAGAACGAAAGCCACTAAATAACTCAACTCAATCCCAGAGACCGTTCAAAAAGTAATCTTTGGGAAAACTTGCGTACAAGAGAAGACTCAAAACTCTTGCCACATAAACCTAGCTCCGAGGAGACTTGAGCTTAGTTTTAAAAAAAAAAAAAAAACACTTATAACTTATGTCATTTGTTTGCCAGTACTCAAAAGTTTCGTACAACTGAAAACCCAATCAGAATCAATCGAAACAATGTTTAAAGTATTACCAAATTTTTATCCAAAGACTAAGCGGCAGCTTATTCCCCAATTATACCTACCCTCTAAACAAAGTTCAATTTTCAAAACATGTTTCATCTTGTTGCTAAAAATACTACAAAGAACACCGAAATTCAGATATTATCTAAGCGATTCACTTGCACAAGGACAAATTCAGACCGAATTTTGCTAATATTGGGAGAAAAATCACTATAAAATCCCTTGAAAGTAAAAACAATAGCAATAAGAGTTAAAAATAAATAGACCCTCACTGAATTATATACACATAATTTCACAGTATTGATTAAAAATGAATTGCTGAAGTTCCCCAATGCTACTTATTTTTCCATCTTTAAATAAGAAGCCATTCTACAAAAAGGGGTTCAATGTTCGAAGGGAAAAAAAAAAGAGACCCGAAAAGAAGAAAGGGGTAAAAAGACTAGAACAAAATATTTTGAAACTAACATCCCTCCCACAATCCTCTGTAAGAAAGCAATTTTGGCAGATTAGAACAATTATAGTAAACTCGCCACCAAGGGATGACATTCCACAGAATACAAGATAAAAATTAAAGAATCACCAAATCAGGCCACTAACACACCAGTCCTTGAACTTCGAGGGGCATAGTTAGCGACTGTTGCAGGCAGATCTCTTAAAACTTCACTTGCTTTCTTTGTAGGGAATTCGGTAACGGGTTTATGAATGAAAGAATTGTTCCCTAACAAGCGATGACTAATCAATCTGTTTGTAGTATTGCATGCCTATCCCCTTCCGACCTTACTAGATCCGCCTGTTTCCCCCAATACTGCCTAGTTCCAAGCAGTAAACCAGTGGAGCAGCACGAAAACTATTTTCCACCTCTCTTCATAGAAGGGAACAATTTTCATCAAAACATCCAAATCTATATTTACAATTGGTTTTAACCAGAATTACCAGTAACCTCTGCAGCTCTCTGTCTCATCATCTCCATCACTGCAGCCCTACGCCGCGAATCAGACTGCTGTTGAAGCCTCCTCAAATGTTCCTTAAGATCTCTGTATTAATTAACAAATTTAACATTATTAGATTTAAATTAAACCCATGAGTGGAAACAGGGAAAGGAGCATAATATATGGCTGCCCAAAAGAGTGGGAGCCACATGCATGTACCTGCATCGTGGTACATGGCATTCAGATTCTTTGCATGCTCGAGCATGAAGTTGCAGCAGATACCACATTTTCTTACAAAGTACACAGCCACCAGAAGCACGTGTTTTGCATTGTATTCCATGGCGGAAGAGCCCCTTCACTTTCCGACAATTTGGGTATTGGCAATGAGCAGACCGACATTGTGATGCATGCACCAAAAGGTCAAGCATTTTCCTCAGCTGTAATTTTCAAGAACAAATCATGTTAGAAGGTCGCACCTAAAATCTGCCATGTGAGCAAACATAGTAATGACTCGTGAACTCATTTTTCCAACCATCTACGTGCCAAATCAGAAGGAAAATAATATATCCAGGGAACATAAATAATTTAATCCAAGTTAGCATTTAGCATATTTCAATATTCAAGTGCAGAGTGCCAATAGCATCTTAGAAATATCCAATTAGAGAGCGGTCTTTAGTCACACTTTCCAATGTTATCAAGCCAATTATCGGTGCCATGCCAAACCCCCAAAAAGGAATATAGTGGACGTACATGCGAATATGTTTTGATGAGACTTAGCCAATTAACCACACCCAACTAGTCGCGTAGTTGAGAGAAATTTTTATTACAAAATGTTCAATAAATTTAAAGAAAAGTACCTGCAGAACCCGCAGTTGCCTAGCTTCTTTATTCTGTGCATCACGTTCAGCAGTGGATGGATGATTTGTTAATTTATGAGCATGATCAATGCCCCCATCCTTTTGGTAACATGCATTGCACACATCAAAATCAGGGCAAACTTCACAGCGCCAACCTTGACCAGTTTCAATGTCCAGATGACATATGTTACAGGTTGTGACAAATGCAGGAGCAGTTGGATTGTGAAGATGGTAGAGGACCATCATCGATGAATGTTTAGCTCGCCTTAGGGTATCATACTGATAATGATTCCCTTGACAAAGACTCAAAAATGCCTGCCTAGTGTCAAAGAATTCACTCTCAAGAATTTCATCTTGATCCTTTGTATCAGTAGGCACATCAGTAATTTCAACCTGCACAATAACAATTTTCCAAATAAATCGATTAGAAAAAGAAAAGTCTGCATAAAGAAGCAACAACAGACAAAACAGTTGAAGTAAATTATAGTAGTACTCTGAGAAACTTACTGGATATAGTACATGTTTTTCCCTCTGATTGATGGGATGTCTCTCTCTTTCTTCACGTTTCTGCTCTGTTTCATAGCACCTGTGAAGGTACAAAGAAGCAAACATCAGATCCATCTATCTAGGAAACCTTCTCTTAGTTGGCAGAAGCAAACTGAAATAAGAATAGACAAAGATAATAACGGGAGAAAAAGATCAAGATAAGAATTGCATCATTAGGTTTCTAACCAGAGGAAGGGACATGGAGTTGAGTCCTGAAATTTTTACCAGTGAAACTTGAGAAATAATCAGGTTTTTAAGAGCACAACAATTAGATTCCTTTTCTCTAAAAGCAAAAGTACGATTGTAACATTACATTATTAGAATTAACATGTCAACTGCCAGGTGAAATTTTGTACCAGGCAATGGTAACTTCCTAGATGTTCTTTTCATTTTCCCCCAAATATGAAGATTTATTTTTTGCCAAAGGTCTGCCCCCAACAGAGGTCCATTCAACAATAAACTCCTAGAAACTTAACAAGGGAAAGCTCATTATTCAACATCATCAACCGTCGTGGCATCTTCCATAACTAAAATAGTAACACTTAAGGAAAGAACAACTTGCAGGACTAAGAAAGTCCATTATTCGACATCATCAACAAATGTGATTAATGTCTCATAACTAGAATATAATGCCAAAGCGTGAGAAATATAATATTAATAATAACAAAAAAATAATAATAATAATGCCAAGGGTTTATATAACTAGCATACCTCTATGCATTAATAAGAGAAATTATTTGATAAATTGCCTGTGGAATTTTTTAACTTCACACACTGAGTTAAGAGATTAACACACATCACACGTTTTTTTTTAATTAGTTTTTCTTATTTTCTTGATATATCCTATGGGATATGTGTCAATCTCTTAACCTCACTAGTGGTTCTACTATCAATGTATTCGATAATTTCTCATATTAATAATTCTTTATAATTTGAATATGAAGTAGGGATGGACTTATAACTGTCAGAATCAGAAATACACTCAACAAGTTCTAAACTACAGAAAAAAGATTGAAGCCAATTTCTAAAATGTAGAAAAAGATTGAATCCTGACATGGATTCAAACTTGAGAAATAAATAATAAAAACATTATAAAGAGACATTTAACTATGTTTACAAAAAGAAAGCATACACCCTCTTGCTCATACATAGATAAATTGACAAATTATAGGTTCTCGTGCTAGACAACCATATTATTATTTATATAATCCAACTGATAAAATCATAGCCAGATAGAGTATCACATGTAGCATACTTCCATGCTCACACACACAGAGAGATCAACTACACAAGAAAATATTACACACATAAATAGAGAAGCAATCTTACGTATCACAAATCTGAAAGTTTTTGCACTGGTTGCAGACCCAACGAGTTCCAGATACCATTAGAATACAACAATGAGTGCAACAATGTTGCAAGTGAACCATGATAAAATCCTCCTTCATTGGGCAAATGGTCTCACCAAGCTGAAGAGAAGAAAAAAGGGGGGAAAGAGTAACATAACCAGTTAAAATCCCTTGGTTCATGATATGGAAAATCTAAGATAGCAAGAATGGTAATTCATCACATCTACTAGCTTTAAACGGAACGAAATCATAGGGTTAAAAATGCTAAAAGATTTGGAAGAAAAGAGATTACTTTATGCATCAGTAGCAGATCCCTTGATGCATTAGCAGAGAGATCAGACTGACCAGATGCTTTTAAAGCCCTTTTTGTTATGGTCTTTTTGGTTGTTCCTTTTTTGTTCAGCTTTCTGCCCTCTTCTTCTTGACGAAGCTGATTAATTAGATCTTCAGCAGCCCCAGGCCAGTAATCACCATCAAAATATGGCAGCCTAGCTGCTGTTACCTTGGCCTTACATTCACCAGTAGATACAAAGAAATGATCGTATAAATTAGTAAGATCAACTACAACACTTTCCTTGGCAGCTTTCCTTAACATTGATAAATACCTGAAACAGCAATCATGCATATTAGGGAAATTAATAATAATGGGATTAATAAAAATATAACCTTAGATGCAAAATAATTAAAAAAAATCTTGACAACTATTTGCCCCACCATTCTCGCAGTTTATCTGATTTAGGTGTTTTCTGAATTTCTGGATGACAATATAAGATATAATCTTCACCCTTTAGTGGAGGGCAAGCCCATATATAGCAACTTGTAAAACCACGCTTCTTGCAATATTCAAGGTATCCAATCTGGAAAATTAAGGTTCAGAATCCAATATTTCAGACAATAATCTCAATTAAATAGATCACTGATAATATATTTAAATTAAAAATCGTGACAATAATTACCACTAAGCAGAACTCAATAAGAGTTTAGACTTACAAGAATTTCATGGTAAACAAACGTACGGAGAGCCTCTCCAGTAACTGCTTTAACCTCAGGCCGGAAATACTTGACAGAATCTAAGTATGACAGATAAACACGGCGCTGATTTGGGAATGCACATTCTGCTCCAAATTCTTGAACATACATGCCAAACAAGCATACTTCTACCCCTTCTATCTTCTGAAACAATAAAATTACCTGAAAAAGAAAACCATTAACTTATAAGCATTTCATAGTTACAATTAAAGTTCCATTTTCAACATACAAGCATGTATTACACTTAACCTATATATATATATATATATATATATATATATATATATAAAAGAAAGAAACCAAACACACACACACACACACACACACACTAACACACGCTTAATGTATATCCTTCACACCTTTGATTTATATGGAAATTCTAGTGGATAATTCTCTTCTTGAAAAATTTCAAGAAACCGCTGCTTCACTTCCAGCTTTTTGTCAACTGATGAAACAACTCTAATTACAAGTGCCTCAGCCCCAGGAACCTGGAAAAATCAATAAAAAACTAAATACACTTATTAACTAAAGAAGCAGAAGTTCATGACAATAGAAGTTCACAACAAACATGCAACTTCATTAAAAAAAAAGGGGAAACAAATCAACAGCAAGAAGAAATTCTGTATATAGAAGAAAGTTAATAAGCCCAAGTCAAAGGAATCAGAAGTTCTAAGTTTCATCCTATAGATAATGAGCTTTGTGGCTATGTGACCTATAACTGGCTAGAAATTGGTGGCAAATGTAAAAGATTAATCAAAGCCATCCGGTTAGATAAGATCCAATTACCCCATTTTTCAATGTTGTCCTAATTATACAAAAACAAACTACAAGCAAAATGCTCAATCACCAGCAAAATATGCTTCATTTTGTATCACCTCTACAGCTTTTTTTGTTTAGCATATTACTAGGAACAAGCAAACTTATCTGAATATAGCTATCATTCTTTCTTTTGTTCTTTTTTTCATTTTTTTGTGTGTATGAGAATTTGTAGCAATTCTACACGTCTTTCAGCAACATGAAAGTAGCAAAAGGATCACCATATAAAACATAGAATCAACTATCATGAGATCATGATCCATTAATCACCTCATCATAACTTTTTCCTTGAACCCTTGCCCTCTCTTGTCTTTCCTGTTTCAGTTTCCTAAATAACCGCTGCTCTATGTGGTCACTAAGGATTGTTCTTGGCAAATCTTTGGCCCCAAGGACAGCACTCTGTGGTAAGGGCTTGCGCTCTCCTCTTTCAATCTCAGTAATATAGCAATTGGGGCATGTATATTCAGCTTGCCCACCTTCATTCCTTCTACCATTAAATAAAGCACAAATTTGATGCTGCCAAGCCTCACACTTGTCACATTGAACCCACTGAAGAATTTTATTGAAGAGAAAGAAAAATGTAAGAGCAACTCTTATGGATGATCATGAAAAATAATAATAACTCAAAAAGTATGTATTGTACATACCCATTCTTCAGCCTCTTCATCATTCTTCTTCTTCTCAAGCCTTGCCTTTGGAATGGCAGTTCCATCAACAACAATGATATCTCCACGAGCCTCATTATGGCATGGAATACAAAAGTAATGTCGTGTATCACCCGCTCCCATTGTGTAGTACATCGCATTTCGCTTAATGCGAGCACCACAAGGGCTGCAATAAATAGGTGGTGGTTCAAAAATAAGCTTCTCAACTGCACATAACTGACAGGAGTTCTCACTCATTGAGTGCTCCATTGCTTGATTCTTTTCAGCCCTTGCCTTACTCTGTAAAAGAAAGAAAATAACTACTATCAATACACCTTGCTTTGTCTCAAAGTCCATTTTCCAGTACATCAAGTAGTAAGCTAACACATATATTCAACTCCTACAACTTATTAATGATGAACACAGAATAGTAAAAGACAATGACTCAAACAAATCAGAACATTATAATAAAGGATACCTGGCCAACCCATTGTCTGAGACCTGTAATATGCTCCCTCACTTGCTCAGGGGTGAACAGTTCGGTCAGTGACACCCCCTTTATTTTGGGTTTCCCAGACTTAGTTCCAGCTGCACTTTCAGAAGGCTGTGTCACATTTTCTTGTTTAACTGAGTCAGGCTCCTTCTCAATCTTGGCATTTTCTTGCTTAGTTAGACCACCATATTCATCACAAGCAATAGGTTTACAATCAGTCTTCTGTTTGCAAATGTTATCTACAACAATCTCCATCTCAATAATAGCAGGACTACCTTTAGAAGAACTCATGGGGACTTCCATCTTTACTTCCATAGGCTCATATTTAACTGGCATAGACATGCCACTTTGCTGGTAATCTTGGCACTGTATATCCTGAGATATGTGATGTTCAACCACAGTAGAACCTGATACCACAGAACCTTCACTTTCGGCTATAACAGACTGCGAAGACTGCTCTATCTTCATGCGTTTTAGTGAAGGCTGTATGTCTAAAGAAGTATCAATTGATGTAGCAGTAGAAGTCACTCTAGCTGAAATGTCTCCAGCATCATATGTTTTAGTAGATCCACCATCCGATGATGGCAAAACAGAAGTAGAGTTTAGCCGGGCACTTGCCTTCTGAGCCTTTACATAATTATTAACAGGAACACAGACAGGGCATGCTGCATTTGCACAAGTCTTGTGATGACGAATCAATATCTTGGAGTGATGGCAACGAGGATATGAGCATTGAGATGATTCACATATATCCATATGACTCAACAACTTTCGGACAGTAAAGCAATAGCCATCACACTTACCCTCAGGGGCTTTACATCTACGAGCATGGCGCAGAAACAAAAGCCACCTCACTTGATTTCTAAACTGCCGATCATGGCTCCCATTTCCAGATCTAGAGATGGCACCCCTTGAATTTGGAGGATCTGATGAGCTTCTAGGAACAACTATTGGACTGATAGTAGACCCATCTGTAGATAAATTGCTACGTTGAGCTTCATCCTGCCCAGATATTCTCTGGCGGAAATCCTCTTGGACATGCTGCTCATGTGACATGTTCCCTAGAATTTGAGCCCGCTCTTGAGAGTGAGGGTGCCACTGGCTCTGCACAACTGATTCTGGCAGTGCTTCAGCCGAAAGCTTATAACCATTATGAAACTCTGGAATCAATTGATCTTGATGAAACATCTGTTGTATTTGTTGAGAATTTTGTGGCAGTGATGAAAGCATATCCTGCTGACTAGAGAGCTCTTCAGCATGGTTCTGCTGGAATTGATTCTGCAATTCAGGAAGTTGAAATTGTTCAGGAGCTTGTTGATGTAGAACCTCATGACGGTGTTCCACTCCAGGTTCACACTTCACTTGACAGCCTATATCAGATGCCAGCTGAGATTGACTATAACCACTATTGCTCAGCAAATTCTGATGCTGCTGATTATGCTGCTTCAGGTGGCATTGCCGTTGCTGGAGATGGGGCTGATGCTGAAATTGTTGCTGTTGATTAGCCTGAAGGAAATTGTCTCTTGAAGAACCTGGAGGTTGGAAATTCTTCTTTTCAAACTGATCCATAGACTGGGGCTTCATATGGGCAGCTGATTGTACACCATGTAAATGTGATGGATTACTTATCAAAGAAGAATTTGTTCTGGAAATGGCTTGAAAATTAACTGGATTCAAAATCTGTGAGTTTGTCACTGATCCAACAGATGTTACAGCACTATACAAATTTCCAGACCCAAAAGAATCAGCATTGTTCATTCCATATCCATCACCTGACAAAGAATTGCTTCCTTTGAGATTACTTGTAAATACCCTTAATAAATTATAATTCAGTCATTATTACTTAGGCATAGGGAAACAGAAAGACAGACAAATAAAATCAGATGTTACCTTGCATCAGGGGCCGCTGATGTTGGTCAGACTGATGTTGGTCGAAGTGTTGTTGCAAAGGTTTTGACGAATTAGCAAACGATGAGACAGTCTGATATCCCCCAGAAGTCCCTGGATCATTAACAATTTGCATATTGTTGCCCATCATCCCCAATGCACCATTTAGGGACCCATTAGGAAACCCAAAAGTTTTCTGCTGCAAACCAGACCTGACGCCACTACCCATTTGGCTGCCAAGGGTGTGCAAAATACGATTGTTTTGACCACCAATATGCTGCTTTTGCTGCTGTGGCTGTGTTACCATCGTTGACTCAACAGTTGAAAGCCCACCAACAATATTGGAAGACTGATTATTCATGTAAGACTGATTATCAATGCTACTGTTATTGTTATTACCATTAAATCCAGGAGTGGGAATCATTTGGCTTGTCATTCTTGGCACACCAATTGATGACATTCCACCTGAAGCAATAGGAAAATTTGCAGGTGACTGTAGATATCCATTAGATATATTTCCTACAGAAGTAATATTCTGTTACCATCAGTAGAAAATGCTATTAAATATGATTACAAGAGACTGCAAGGCCCAAATTTACCTTCAGATCTACTGAAGAAACCACTATTAATGCCACCGGTTGGCAACAGGTTTCCTGTATTGACAGTTGTAGGTGCTAAGCTTGCATTGGCGGCATTCATAGAAGTATCAATAGAAGATGTAACTATCACGCTAGCATTGCCACTGAGTGACATACCAGGGGTCGGTATCATTGTACCAACTGGTGCTGATGCCGAATTAACTAGCTGCGGATGTCGTTGGTTGTGCACATTTCTGCTCCCCTTTATCAGAGTCTGTAAACGGTGTTCCAAAGTACTTAAGTTTATATAGTCCTCCTGGAAAATAAATTGTGACTGTCAGAAATAAGGGGAAAAAAGTGGGTTGTAGCACATAGAAATTAAAAAAAAAAAAAAAAAAGAAAGTCATCAGAAGAATGCCAAGTATTGCTTCTACAGTGTGAAAAAAAAAATCAAGAAAATAGAAAATAATAAAAAGAAAAGAAGTGAAGAAATAATATTGCTTCACTAATAAAGTATGTGAATGAAATGGAAAAAAAATCAGTCAAGATACATATTTGCTCTAAACATAGTAATTTGAAAAAATAAATAACCTTTGTATGAGCAATCCTAAATAGACCTTCTTCCAACCGTTTTGCAAAATCCCGAAACTTGATCATTGATGCCTCAGTGATAGGGTGCTGGTTGCGCAATTTCAAAACCTCAATGCTGGCAAAATTGAGATAAAAAATAGCATTAGTTATAAAAAAATAATCGTTATATAAGGATATAATAACAAAATGATTCTAAGATGGAAATGCCAATTCTTGATATATAGATTGATCTCAATAGAAGCTAAATCGCAATAGTAATTATATGAAATCAATAACAAGAAAACAACTATCCATTAGATATGATTTAAATATCTGTCTCCATATCAATGTGAAATCACAAGGATCATTACATACATGTTCTACCACCAATGTGGAGTCTTTAAGAATAATGAACAAACAAAGTTTTCTTCCTTTAGCTTTTTTTCTTTTGAAAAGAGAGAGAGAGAGAGACCTCTCTAACAACTTGAACCAGAAGCCTTCCCCATTGCACTAGACGATGGCCCCTTAAATTTGTTGAAACAACTATTATTCAATTCAATGATGCACTCATAAATGTATATCTCAAGAAGAATTAACATTATCTACTGGCTCATAAAATCCTACACAAACAGATATACAACTATTTCAATGCAAAGCACTGTTTCAATGTTTTTCTTCACACTAGAATTCTACCAATTTACTAAATATAATATAGTTCACTGAGTTTGAGTGAAATATAGACACCTAAGCCCTAATTTATTTTGCGACTTTTTTTTATGCTAACTTTACACACATTTTGTAGAAGTAGAAAAACAAATATAAATATTATCTCAACTGACGGGTGTAATTTACAGTGGTATAGAACTAATAAAATTAAAAACCAAAAATGCCACTATCTATAACGAAAGAATATTACTAAACATGCAACTGAGCAACCAGCAGCACACGTGCACCACAAACATGTACAATTGCACATGCACACACACAAACACAAGAAAACGATGAAATGCAAAATAATAACAAGCTTCAATTGGTATTAAAGAGTATTCAGACAGCATTAAATCATCAGCTAATGAAGCTTTAATTCCAAATTGCTCCCTGATTTAAAATTAATCAATAAGCAGATACAAACATTTCATACAACAAGGTAAACAATACTACTGCTTATAGAAAATCTTACATCTTTCCTCGCATAAATTCACGTGTTCTGATAAGTTCAGGGTCCATATTCAACGTATTATGCGGAGGACCTCCAGTGCCAACAACACCACCAGCACCCACACCTCCTGCAACGCCTAAATTCTGCATCTGGGCAGGTTGGAAAGAGTTCCCATTTTGCTGCGGCAAACCCCGCTGATTAGGCACCTGTCCTGGTAACTGTCCTGACATATGTGCCTGCACATACATTCTACCCTTATTCCTTCTTCTTTTTCACCTTGTCTTAGTAACTACCACAAAAGGAAACAACCACGTAACTTATGACAGACTCTCGCCGTACAATCGCACCATCCACCACTAATCATGGTTCCTTCTTTATTCCTCCTTTAATTGTCAGTTCAAATAAATCACTTTTATGACACTTCTGTATTATATGAACCCTGCTTACAGATATTGAAGAAAATTGAATAAATTAACTCAAAATTTTCAATGATTCAATCTTAGTTTCAAAATTTTTGCATTGTTTTAACCAAATTGATACCAAAATTAGCTAAATTGGACGAAATTTTGGGGAATTTCGGTAAATGAAGCAAGACAAGTCCCAAATTGTGAATTCCAGGATAAAACACATCCTAATTAGTGAATTAAGGACTAAGCAAAGACTAACACTAGGTTAACAAATAAAAAAGAACCTTAATTCCCTAAACCAATTAAGGAGAAAATGAAAACCCTAAAAAACGAACCTGAGGGAAAATGCAAATTGAAAGCAGAAGCAAGAGAAGCTGCGATCGGAACTTCGAGTATTCCAATGGTAAGACCGAGAATCGCGATGACGACGCCGATCGGAAAATAAAAAAGGAAAGCGAAAGGAGTCGGCAAAACACCGCCTGAATCGCACGTACAAGGGAAATTGACACGAGCGTACTACACCAAGAGAGAGCGCCACGAGAAAAAGAAGATCAAAAAGAGATGAGGGAAAAAAAAAAGGGTAGTGGGAGTCGAATTAATCTTTATGGGGCTGGGGTTTGCATAGAAAAAGAGGGTTTCAAGTTGGGATTAATTTTTTTTTTTCCTTTACGCTCTGCAAAAATTTATTTATTGGACGACGAAGATTTTTTTTTTTTTTTTGGGGCTTTTTTCGATTTTTAAATTTTTTTAAATAGTAATAGTGATTTCTTATTTAACAATGATGAACATGAATGGCTGTGACCGGCCTACTAATCAAATAAAATTTTTTAACGAAATTTTTTACTAAAATTAGAATTTTTATTTATAAATTGAATAAATTTTATTATATTTATAATATAACATATTAAATAATAATTTAAAATATTATATATTAAATAATATAAGCTATAATAAATTAAAATGTTTACCTTTATCAATTCAAAAGGTTACTGATGTCCGTGCCTTATAAATATAATATAGACAACTATTATTTTTTTTATTAATTAATTTGTCTTTTATTTTATATATAATACTTATTAATGTTCAAGAGAATAAAATCCTTTTAATTATAAAAAAAACAAACAAACACAAAATTTCCACTTTTATAAATAAACACTAGAAATGAGCCGCACAATACTAAAAGTCTATTTTTTAAATTAAAATTTGTAAAAATTTTCATTAATTTTTAAAATAATATATTTTATTGTAAATGTTAATATTCTATTAAGAATATAATTAAATTTGTTGACTATAATATTTTTGAAAATATGATAATGAAAATATCTCTCAAATAAATTAACAATAACTTGCATGTTGGAAAAGATTTCAATTAATATTAACATTTTTAAATCATGAAATTAATATAATATTTAAACTTTTTATTTAAATATATTAATCTTATGATTGACTTTGATTTTAATTTTATCAAAATGAATCACATCACTTATTTAAAATAATTTTTAAGAATCAAATGCAGTGACCCTAATGATACTAGATCTCGCTTATTTACATGATGAAATCTCTCCTTAAAAACGGACTTTAAGTAATTATATAGAACTTTCAAATAAAATTAAAATTATTGTCTCAAGCTTTTAATTTAGTAATTAAAAATATTTGAGAGAATATTAAAAATTTAATTTCGAATCAATTTTTTTTTCATTTTATTTATATTAAGCTTTTACTCTTCTGATTTAATTAAAAAAAATTATCGATCTATAAATCATCAATGAAACTCATAAATTTTAAAACTAATTTTATAAATTCTGTAATAGTAAAGTTAATTTATTAATTTCGTTAATTATAACAGTGTTGTATCTACGAAAACACTATGTTCTTAAAATCTATGAAAACCCTATGTGAATTCTTCAAACAGTTTCCCTTCGATCCTTTGAATTTGATATTTGATTAACCAGAATAGGGTTGTTTTTTTTTTTTTTTTTTCTCAATTTTTCATTCAAATTTTCTTCAAAATAAAAAATACACGCTAATCTTCTTTGCTTACAAAAATTCCCTAAATTTCATAAAAAATAGATAAAAATTCCATAAAAAAACAACTCACATAAAATTTCACACAACAAAAATTCATATTGTCATTTACATATTTCAAAATTCCACGAATATTTTATGTCATTCAAATCAATGCCTTGTCGTAATCCATGATCATGTAAACATGACTAACGAAAAATCTTGACACCTATTTGGTGCTCATTTCAATCTACTTACAGCATCAGTGCCGTAGAATTTTGCCGTTTTTTGGTGCAGTCGTACCATTTTGTTCTGTTTGGGTATCCTACGATTGACATCTTTTAACTCGGTCGGATCAACATTTTTCAACTAGAAGTCAGGAGTCCATTGAGCCATTGCAGTGAATTTTTTTACCATATACCTACTATTTATTTTTTATTTTTTGTCATTTATTTTATTTCATATTTATATTTAAATTAGTTTAATTTTAATATTTTATATTTTATATGTTTAAATTATTTTATTAAAAAAATATTTATAATTGTTATAAATATTATTTCTTTAGACATTAAATATTTTAGTCTTTTTATAATTTTTAATATTTCAAATTCTAAATATTATCAATTTTTTAAAATATATATCATTTGACATAAAACTAAATTTAATAATTTTTAAATATTTATTAATTTCATAAATATCAAATAATTTAAATTTTTTATTTTATAAAAACTTTAATTTAATACTTTAATTATTTACTCTTTTCATTATAATTTATACCATCATTAATTATATCATCACCACCATTATATTTACATTCAAACACATATTCAACATCAATTTTAATTTTACCATCATAATAAGTAATCTAACCACTACTATTATTTCTACTCTCAAACCAATCTCGCCACATATACAAATGAACCCTTATAACACTTAATCTTACAATCTATAAAAATTGAAACATTTGATTTATGCAAATAAATTTCTTAGAACCAAATATGCCATTAGACTAAGTGTAAATCACCATCCGCACCCTCTGCTTATTTTAAAACTCCACCAAGATACCACATCATCCAAATGAACACCACGTCACCATAATCAACACAACTAACAACTAACATAGAATCCAAACAGCGTTATTCATTAGACTGAATTTAACAAACTATAAAAAATGAAGGACTATACTTGTACAAATATATAAGAAATAAATCCGTTAAAGTCGACTAAGTACAAGAATCAATTGTACAGTTTGACCAAAAAAATAAGTGTATATGTATATACACACATATATATATATATATATATAGAGAGAGAGAGAGAGAGGCACACATGCTACACGAGCTTTTGGGCAAAAAAAAAAAGGACACAGATGCATGGATATAGCCACTGCGAAGGCGGAAAACGCCCAGAACAGGACCCAAAAAACATCCTCCAACCTACCTTGCACAGTCGCACTGTATATCATTACAATAAACATCAATTGAATTTCTTTACAGTGGAATCCCCGGCCTGAGCAATGGAGGGACCAAACAAAAGTAACCAAATTAGTTACTTGTTGAGGGCCGGGGCTTGGGCGGTATGTAAAAAGAGTTAACGCAATCAATTGGAGTATTCATTACAGGATTCCATCTATCAAACACTATTCGGCCTCCCCGGCCCATTCTTCCATGAAATTTATAGGGCGGTGCAGATGCACCATTTTTTGTTGAGGAATCAGATGGCGGTACAATGCTTGCAGCCGCCAGCTTATCTGGAACTAGAGGTTTTGTGAACAACAAAACCGGCTCAAGAGGATCCTGCATTAACCATACCAAAAAAAGAGAACCCATACTCAAAAATATGAAAGCATAATTTAGGATCGAGTTAAATCCACAGTTTATTAGAAATGCATAGCTAAAATGAAGTCAACTGCACCCCATTGAAGTTGGAAAACGAGGTCTACAGACATTTGGTCTAGAAATGCTACCCGAATGGCACACCAGGGCCGTTGGTCATGACAATATAAAAGAAAGCAATTAATTCTTTTGGGAATTGCACGTTAGAGTTGCGAAACGAGAACAAGCCAGTTTGACAAGGCATACCTGTTTATGGAGCCACCCATGCAGCATTTGTCGCCACTGAAACTCTTGCTTAATGCTTCCAGCAGGAGCCATGGCCACATTAGAATCTGTTAGAGGTAGATTTTGAACTGCAGCAGGTCGTGTATGTGGACAGTTGTTTGCATGGTCATCTGAGTCCATAAACTCAGCTTCACTTGAAACAAACTTGCCAGATATTGGTGGAAATCCAGGAAGCTTAATATCTTCGAGGAGCTCAGTTTCATGCTGAAATTTCATCAAGCAGCCAACATCGTACAAAAAAATTTTAAATCATATTAAATTGCGTTTTCTATATCATATTAAAATTTATTCAATGAAAATAAATAAAAACCAACAAAATGAATGGACACATTGTTGGCACAGATCACTTTTTTAAACTATAGAGAAGGCATCACTGGTTTAAAGATTACTCATTGAGAGAACTCTCCAATGGAAAAAGAATGATATTCTGCATACGACATTTGACACTAATAACAGAAATCTCTTTCCAAGCACACAGCCCAAAACATAGGAGAATACTTGCGCCTTGCTATAACTAAAGATATGCAAATACAGGCTCAACATTGTCAGGCAGATTATTAAAAATTTCCTCCTATTTTAATTTTTTTTCCCATCTTTTTACATCAAAGCAGCGGTTTATGATGGCAATTTTGACATTTACCTACAAAACACCTGACTTTCTAAACCCTCCATTCAGTATGGCTATTACTTTAAATGCTCTCAATAGGTTAAAGACAATTAAAACCCAAGCATTCCTGTAAACTATAAGGGAAAAAGCTAATGATAGAACACATTGGACACGTACCTTGTATTTCATTTGGATTCTTTCAAGGCTAACTTCACTCTCCATAACATCCCTTTTCTTCTCTTCTCTCTGCATTCAAACACAACCCACAAGCAGTATGAATTCAGGTGGTTATATAAGCCTCTGTTAGCAGTCAAATGTGCTTGAAATTACAGGAGTAAATGCACCTTAATTAAAGCTTCAAGTAAGGTTTTGGCTTGATCTAGGTTGCGTCTGACCTGAGAGAAGTCAATTGCAAAAAAGAAAACATTAGTTTGATAATAATTTATGAGGATTATTATTAAAATGTTTGCAAAATAATACAATAATTACAATGACAAATAATAGAGAAAGGGCATATTTATAGTCCAAAACAGCATTAAAATAAAAATCTGACACTAGGATCTTGAATTGACATAAGCTACTTCCACAACAAATTACTATAAACATAGATTTTGGATCAATGTCGAGCGGACTTAATGGACAAGAGAGAAAGAAGAAAAAGAGATAAGTGAATAGTTACATCTTTTCAAATGAGACTAGCTACTGACGGAGGAAAATTT